CTATAACAGCTTGTTAAACCAATGTCATTGTCTATTTAGTCGGAAAATAATAACTTGTTGGATGCATTAAGAAATTCATAACTTTGTTTCAACGATGAAAATCTGTTTCCCATAAAACAGACTTTTATTTTACTAGTATCGCGAACATTGTATAACTTGTAGGATGCAGGTCTTCCTTCACCAACTGTTCTGGCAACCGACGCTTTGAACTAGGTGCTTTTTCTATCCAAACTTCGTCTTATCTTTATTTTCATTGACTCTTAGGACTATACGTGAAAAGTATTAAAAAAATTAATTCATAATAACAAGATCTGTATGAAGAAAAAAAATTGGTACAACAGAACATTAAAGACGAAGAAAACAAACAAAAAAGAACACACTTCCAAACACAATACAGTAATGCTTATTTGGAATGACTAGTAATAAAGTAAATTAAAGATTTTATTGACCGCACTACTCATACCTATACTTTTTGAATTGGATCGTCGAACATGTTCGTACCGTTTTTTTTTTCAAATTAGATTAAAGAGACCGGAAGCTGAGGCAATCCACAGAACATCATTTTAGAGAAAGGCCCGTGGTAAAGTCCCCTCAGCAGAGATCACCTGAAGACAGCGTCAGGTGAACTCACTCCAAGACAGACAAGGTCCAGGGGAACAATTGATTGCAAAGATTCTCATATCTTTTGATATTTATCACTTCTAGTTTAACACTGAATCCAACAGTGTTAAACTAGAAGTGATAAATATCACTTATTGTGGAACTCCGAAAGGCGCTATAACATGTCCTTGTAGACCAATTTTCAGGAAATATCTTAACAAGCCATCTTATTGTAGAGGAAAACCTGTAGTTTCGAATAATATAACATATTGCATAGATCCATTTGTTGAGAATTCCTCATTTTGAAAATAGCAACACGAACTTTCCGCCGACTCAATTGAACCTAAGAAATTAATATGCGTTGTGCACCGTACAACACCCTATGAACTTCTACCATTCAAGAGTGAAAATACTTGCTGAAATGAAAACTTGCTTTAAGAAAATTCATTAGAGTGCTTTTTATGTTAACTTGTACCGCCTGAGCATGTATCTCGCGACATGCTCTCAGTCCTATATTGGTGATTTGATTGACAACCGCTCCTTCTTTCAGAGGAAAAAGAGCACTGTTTTACTGGTAGATTGGCAAAATTGGGTACATCTTAGACAGACCATGCAGTTTGAGACATAATCACCTTCAATGCTTTCCTTTACTGGAAACAGTG